ATGCTGACCTGAATTCAGTACTGCTAATCAAACAACAGCTATTTCAAAAGATAACGGTAACATATCTATATGTGTGGATCAGCCCACATATAAGCTGTACATGTACATGCTTGGTGTGGTACTCCAATGCATCTATTGGCGACCTGCTCTGCTAGGATTGCTTAAAATCACGTTTGTGTGTTTTGTGTTTGATTTCCAGTGTCTTCATGTATTAATTTTTTGGCTTGTCCGATTTCACTCAAACTTGGCAGGCAGGTCTTGCATTCAATCTAGTTGGGTGGTAAAATCTGGAAAAAAATCTTTGCCCACCATTACCATGTCAACAACCAAAAAACTGGATAGCGCCAAATGTGTCTCCTACAATTCTTGAACTAAAAACCTCAGACAAGCTCATTGCACAACGTTACTATTTTGATATATTTTATTTATCACTGAGAATTTTGACCTCAAATTATCTTTCTGTGATTTTTTTTGGCTGGGCCAATTTTGTTCATACTTGGTAGGCAGGTCATAAATTCACTCTAGTTAAGTGGTAAAATCTGAAAAAATTATAGGGCCAATTTTGCCATGGCAACAGCCGAAAAAAACATTTGGTTTCAGAGCGGAGCGAATTGCCAATCAGCCATTTTGTAAACATACTCAAAAAGATTTAAAACTATGATGTCTTTTTACATTTCACACACACAAGGGTTTATACAGAGAAATAAGAGTATGGTATGGTATGGAAATGGTCAAGTTTTCGATTTATGTTTTTGCATTGGCTACAAAGGTAAAAATATCCACATGTGACCCACCAATACTTAGCGAGTCAAAAGTTAACTGCCTACTTAATATAAATAACCTAAAAAGAAAAGGACAAAAAAAAATATGTTTCTTCTAAAAAACAACATCACAACAATAGCATGAACATCACACTTCTTATGTCACTTAAAGTGGGAGGGTCGTCACCTGCGCTTGCACAGGAATTGAGTCGCAAGTGATGATGACAACACACGCTAAAAATGCAAGGGCTCATGGGTAGACGCTTGTTTGTAAACAATGACACGCTATGGCCATCTGACGCATGCGCAGGTGACAACTCCTCACTTTAATTGAAGATGTCCATCTCTCATTCTGCAGATTCATACTTGGCATCTCTAAATACACATCAAAAATGGAACAGTTTTTATTAAAAAACAATTAATAAAATCATTTAATAGAATCAATAACTCATCAAATACATTATTGAAGGCTGCCAATACTGTTAATAAAAACAACAAGAGCAAATAGTTTTAAACAATTGAGAAACTACTGAAGGAGTTATCATTATCACCAATAACATCGGCACAACTGGTCCATTCTACATTCATGAGTAGTCTTCTACATTAAAGTCACAGCTTAGCTAAAACTGTACACAGTATAGCTAGCTACTATACACAATTTTCAATAAACCTTAGAGTTATGTTTATATTCTTTCCATTTCAGTGACACTTTTCTATTACCAATAGTTTTCATTCAAAAATACATGTTTGTCATTAGGTTTTCAAATATCACAGATATTGAAGAAGATGGTGATCATGCCGTGCTGCAACATGTTCGATATGGGTCACATGCAATGCATAAAATATGCATTATTTGTTTACAAAAAATTTAAATACCATATCATAATGCAGCTTACGTTTGTCTTCTTCGTCAGCCAAGGTACATTTATTCGGCTGTCGCCTTACATACATGGCCATGGATGGCCGGCTTTAGCAAAACCATGTGAATTGAATAATAAGCTTTAATAGGCCTGGAATTTGGACATTACACAGTCATTTCCCTTTTTCCCCCTGAGTCTATCAGCAGCAGTTAGAAACTTTTTTTTTTTTTTAAATTGTTTTTGTGCCAGGCGACAGTTCCAAACATTGAATGTCACTGTTGTCTCTCCTGATTTTTTGTTTTTGTTTTTGTAAGTCACCAGTTAGAAACTTGATAATGCGTAATTTAGATACATTTCTGAGAAAAATGAAGATGACAAAATGACATTCAAGATGCATTCTGGGACTATTCATTCAGTTTAGGGATTGTTATGCGACATTTTTGATGGCATGAATATGTGCAAATTGAAAGGAAATAATTCAATAATTCACCCTTGTTCTGAAGTACTATTAATTTTGGTTAGCGGAAAACCTGTTTAAATCCACACATGTCGGAATCATTCAAATTATTTATTTTATTATTTCATTTTAAACTATGTTATATCTTAACACTTTATTGATGTACACCAATAGAAATTTTATTTCTAAAGATGCAATAAGACATTATTACCATTATTATTATTAATTAGCAAGCAAACAATGAAATAAAATGATAAAACTATTTTCTAACATATCAATGTAAATATTTCCCACAAACTGTTTCACATAGACCCAATAAAGCTGTTCAACTCTTAAATGAGGAAGTGTGACCCAGATATTGCGATTATTTAAGGGAAGTTATACCAGTACTTCAAAATTTCCTCATGGGCTTATTTTATTTGAATATTGCATGGTACCGTACTAGTATGATATTCAGATATTGACACCAGAGGGCGATCTTTCAGACATACAGCATAGTGGACGCCTGTTGTCCACTACCCTGTTTGTATAATCCAAATTCATAATCAGACAAATGCAAAACGGATTTTATTTTACGAATTTTTGACCATGGTTACGTTAATTCTTATTTATTTTTATTTTTTGGGTCATGCACTATTTGTGGACATAATTGTTTGCACTGTACATGTTTTTTTATGGGCAAAATGACAGTTTGTCATATTCCATGTTTGATGTTATTGTAAAATACTTTATTTTCGCTTAGAATTAATTTTTGCTATTTTTACTGAAGGGATGATTCCGTTAAAAAAAAATCCAGCGAATATACCTTTTTTTCTTATATTTTACATTCAACTTATTTTAAGTCAATAAAAATAAATTCAATACGAAGCACCCGAAAAGTCTTTTGAGCGAAAATTTATTCCAACTAAAATACAGTATTAATGTTATTACATGGTTCTTAACTCTAGTAAATCTTGAGTAACTTTGGCCTCCTTGCTAAATGTCACCCAACCTCTTAGGAGACAGACAAGTTGATCCATGGATTTGGTGTTCAATTCCAGATGGAGCAACCACTACACTATCAAGAACAACAAACATGCACCATAACCATTTAATAGTCGTGTGCATAAACAATGCACATATATGAATATTCATATAAATAAAGCATTAAGTAGTTATAGTAATAGACTGGGTATATTTCACCAAATATTGATCAAAAACCAATAATTCCTATCATAACAAGTAAACAGATTTGGGGGAAAAAACAGCTGACATTCTGATGACCCACCAAATAATTTGTGATTTCCCTCAATCTGTGGGGTTTACAGTATATTAAAGGACACTGGTCATCACTGCACGTCCTGTTCAATATGTGACTCATAGCGACGTATACAATGTGTTTAAAATACATTGTTTATTTACATGAAATCTGAATATGCGCTGCATGATGATTACACCCTTATATAGCTTGACATTCAAATTTATTTGTGTGTTGGTTTGTATTATATATACTCCAATTAAAACTTCATGGCTTTTCTTGAATCAGTAGTAATATGGTGATCTCGATATGGCTTTAAAGAATATAATATATTGGTAAATACTTAAAACAAATACTTACTACATAAGAGATAATTTATGTCTTTTTGAGCAGAAATGGACGAACATTCTTTGAATATAAAACAAAGTAATTCCGGTAATACTGATTAAAATGTTACAAAATTCATCGAGAATATTATGGAAAAGATAAGTAAATAAATGTATATAAATAAATTCTATAGAATCAGAGTGGAAGATTGCATAACACTTATTATTTTCAAAATTCTGTGTCTCTGTGTAAATTTCAAATATAAAATTATGAAAATAATAGTAATGCTAATATAGTACATTCCAGTGATGCATAATTTCCCCGTAACGCATCGCCTGCTGAAAGACTTCACAGTTAATCAATAAGAATGTGGACAAATGGCTTCAACAAACAATGTGTTAATATGCAGTTGTACTTTGTTCGATTACATTCGTATTTTGTTAACCTTTGAAGTGCCTTTTCACAATTTTATCTTTATAATATTAAGATTAGCCAATGAGAAATTACGTCCAATTGGTCCAGAATTAACAAAAAAATTATACAAAATGATAAAAAAATACATAAAAATGTATATTGCACCAAAATATTGGATGGAAAAATTATGGAATTCAAAAGATAAAATGTCAATAAGTAAGATGTATTACAAGTAAGATGTATTACAAGTGATTTTATTTGTTTCTAGATGCTCCTCCATAATGATGTTTCTTGTAATTATAATTTCATGAGAAAATAACTGCACAGCGGGATCAGTATATCAAAGATGAAAGGCATTTAACATATCAATTATAATCAAATAAAAAATTAAAATATTTTATTGTACTTGCATATTTATCGGCATCACTGTATTTGTATTTACATCTGTTTGTTAATTTTGAATTTGTTGCATTATATTGGGATATGATTTGTACCTATCACATGATATAAGTGTTCCCATGACATGCTCAGTCACATGACCACTTAGTACCATCACATCATTTGAGGTTCTTTCACATTTAGTAATGTGCAATAGATTAAAGAGTATCTCAACATCATGTCACCCTCTGAAAGCTTGGTGTTTTGACATTGAACTATAAAACATGAAATTTAAGTTTAAAAATCAAATCATTTGTTTTTTTGTGCCAGACGTTCACTCTGTCCCTTTTATGCATAATTCAATATCTGTAAGTATGAAAAATCACCTATTCAGATGAATGCTAATTAACAGTTGGTTAATGAATAATCTGTATATTCTATTTTACAGGCTCCACCTACAAACTTATACTTAATGTAAAAGTGATGGAGTCTGTCACTATGGCAACCTGAATTGCCCAGATCAATGGCAATGATGTAGTTACAAATTTGTTCCCATAAATCTTTATTTATATTGTATTGTCCATTGTAACAGGGTTAGGAAATATATCCTGAGATTGTAGATCATCCAAATCTACATTGTCTTCTTCACCATCTTCATCAAGTTCAGTTTCAAATAATTGCTGGAGGAGAACTTCAACATTCTTTATACCTGAAGTTTGTGAAGAAATCAAATTTGTACAAAATATTTGTCATTTAGTTTTCAATGAGTTAATTTACACAGGTTTTCTTTTTTCACACAGACAAATATCAGTTTAGATAGGTACCTAGTTTACATAGGGTTCAGTGTTAATATGTATTTATTTTACACAGGGTTCAGTTTAGACAGGTTTCAAGTTTACACAGGGTTCAGTTTAGACAGGTTTCAAGTTTACACAAGGTTCAGTTTAGACAGGTTTCCAGTTTACACAGGGTTCAGTTTAGACAGGTTTCAAGCTTACACAGGGTTCAGATTAGACAGGTTTCCAGTTTACACAGGGTTCAGTTTAGACAGGTTTCTAGTTTACATAGGGTTCAGTTTAGACAGGTTTCTAGTTTACATAGGGTTCAGTTTAGACATGTTTCCAGTTTACACAGGGTTCAGTTGAGAAAGGTTACTAGTTTACACAGGGTTCAGTTCAGACAGGTTTCCAGTTTACAAGGGGTCAGTTTAGACAGATTTCCATTTTACAATGGTTCAGTTCAAACAGGTTCCCATATTACAAGGGGTCAGTTTAGACAGGTTTCCATATTACAATGGTTCAATTCAGACAGGTTTCAAGTTTAGACAAGTTTGCATATTACAAGGGTTCAGTTGAAACAGATTTCTACTTTATACAGGGTTCAGTTTAGAAAAGATTCTACTTTATACAGGGCTCAGTTTAGACAGGTTTCAAGTTATTACACAGGGCTCAGTTTAGACAGGTTTCAAGTTATTACACAGGGCTCAGTTTAGACAGGTTTCAAGTTATTACACAGGGGTCAGTTTAGACAGGTTTGTAGTTTATACAGGGTTCAGTTTATACAGGTTTCAAGTTTACACAGGGTTCAGTTTAGACAGGTTTCCAGTTTACACAGGGTTCAGTTTATACAGGTTTCCAGTTTACACAGGGTTCAGTTTAGACAGGTTTCAAGTTTACACATGGTTCAGTTTAGACATGTTTCCAGTTTACACAGGGTTCAGTTTAAACAGAATTCCAGTTTACACAGGGTTCAGTTTAGACAGGTTTCCAGTTTACACAGGGTTCAGTTTACACAGGTTTCTAGTTTACATAGGGTTCAGTTTAGGCAGGTTTCCAGTTTACACAGGGGTTATTTGAGAAAGGTTTCTAGTTTACACAGGGTTCAGTTTAGACAGGGTTCCAGTTTACAAGGGGTCAGTTTAGACAGGGTTCCAGTTTACACAGGGTTCAGTTTAGACAGAATTCCATTTTACAATGGTTCAGTTCAGACAAGTTCCCATATTACAATGGTTCAGTTCAAACAGGTTCCCATATTACAAGGGGTCAGTTTAGACAGGTTCCCATATTACAATGGTTCAGTTCAGACAGGTTTCAAGTTTAGACAAGTTTGCATATTACAAGGGTTCAGATGAAACAGGTTTCTACTTTATACAGGGTTCAGTTTAGAAAAGATTCTACTTTATACAGGGCTCAGTTTACACAGGTTTCAAGTTATTACACAGGGTTCAATTTAGACAGGTTTCCATGTTACAATAGTTCAATTCAGACAGGTTTCTACTTTAGACAGGGTTCAATTTAGACAGGTTTCCAGTTTACACAGGGTTCAGTTTACACAGGTTTCCAGTTTACACAGGGTTCAGTTTAGACAGGTTTCCAGTTTACACAGGGTTCAGTTTAGACAGGTTTTTACTTTATACAAAGTTCAGTTTACATAATGGTAAATTGTACTTACCTGATTTGGACAATCTGAATCTGAGTCCTGATTCAATATTTGGAAGTTCATTTCCCTCTTCCATGTTATTCACTAAGTCATCTACGTCTTCTCTTCTCTTTCGAATTCTCTGACTCCTGTTAAAAGGTTATAAAGTTTGCATTAAGGTTTAGTAGGGTCACTAGTAAGAAAAACATGTTTGTTTTTTTCATATAAATATGATTCACACATATATAGGCACATGCATTTTACAAGACTTTTGTAAATTATCGTGCAAATCTACCCTTAAAAAATGACAACTTAGGTCAAATTTGATGTATTATTTTAAATTCATCATTGTAGAAATTAGTTATGCATGTGCTTGTGTGATCATATGCAAGACAGATATTATCAAATATTAAGAAATTGGAATTTGAAATTTGATTCAATATTAAAAAAATTACAAATTAATTACATATTGTTCTATAGTATTAAGTCACAATATAAATTGCAAGACTTGTTCACTTGTGGGAAACATCTGATAATTAACATGGACTGGTTCATGGTGTCATACATCAAACTAAATCCAGCAGTGCATACCAAACACTACTGTATTTCATACACATTTTTTCCAGTCAGATTATATTCACTGTATATTGTAAGAATCAGAATGTGAACAGTCCAAGTAATACAAAGTCTACAATTTCAATCAAGACTATATCTACTGACTGAGGGACACAAACAAATTATCAAGAAGAAAAAGTTATTACAGACAGAAGAATTTACATTTATTACTGTAAAATACTTCATTTTAGCTGGATTTAATTTTCGCTGAATAAAATTTTTAGGTGTTTTGTATGAAATTTATTTTCACTGATTTTTGACAAGTTGAATGTAAAATATAGGGAAAATGGTATATTCGCTGGATTTTATTTCACTAAATCTTTCCTTTCCTTGAGCAAAAAATAGCGAAAATTAATTCCAAGCAAAAATAAAATATTTTACACTATATTTCAGGGTCTTAACAGTTTTTTTGTCATCAAGTGACAGAACAGACAATTTTAGAATGTTTTACTAGCATAATTCTGTTACAAGTATATTTTGTGTTTTTCCAATTTTGACATTTAATACCGAAATCAACATTGTTTATAAAATGCCTGGAATAGCTGTATATTTTGTAACATTTCATGATACCGGTAGTTAGAAACAGCAGAGAAGCAAGCAGTTTGAATAAAGTTTGAATTCAATTTAAGACATAACATAATAACTTTAAAGCAGGGGAGTCGTCACCTGCACAAGCGTCGGATGGCCATAGCGTGTCATTGTTTACAAACAAGTGTCTACCCATGAGCCTTTGCGTTTTTAGTGTGTGTTGTTATAGTCACTTGGAACTCAATTCCTGTGTGTGCGCAGGTGACGACCCTCCCGCTTTAATAAAAGGTGACAAGGAAGAATTTCTACCAGATTTAAAAAAAACATGTACAAGTTTAACTATTATAAGAGCTTAAATTTCTGTTAACATTAATGCCTTCACAGTTACATCAATGTTTATATTCTATATATATGTTCTTGTAATGACTATACAGAACACATTAGTATTTTTAACATCACTGTTGTAGTTCAGTGTAATATGTGATTTTCCGTTCAACTGCGAGATCTCGTGAGTCGCGTGAAAGATGAGCACTGAATGTCTACTGCAAAAAAACAAATTGATTTTGAGCTTGAATTTTTTTTATTTTGTAGCTCATAATGAAAGGCCGACCTTTGACAGGGTAATATTGCATCTGAGTATCCTTACTTCATCAAAATTGATCATCATCAAATCTGTACAACACATTATCATTTAAAGTATGAAAATATCCCCCAAAATACTTCCGCGTTTGTCGAATTCCATGCGATGCTAGTCGCCACTACGACCTTTGTATGTCCTGTTTTTACGTTTGATTTTATGCATAACACGGGATCTTGCAGTGAACAGGAAATAGTGTGGGACGAACATAACATAACATGACGATACATCAACTGTGACATTTTTAATATTACCGCAATCCCTCCAGGTGGTTGTATTGGTTGAAGGAAAATAAAAAAAATATTGTTTTAGCAAAACTCAGGTGGTCCAATTAAATAGAATATAAATATAAATAGAATATATGTATATATATAATTTATATTGATAAGAGAAGACAGTATAGACATAAAATAATTATAATCTCTATGAATACTACTGATACTGCTGCATTCCCACGTTGCAAATATGTGAAACTTCACTCCACAGAAAGGTAAAGACATAATGTGTGTAAGATTACATTTTAGCTAAAAAATATGATTTATTATAATATTAATAGTAGATATCCTGGCCACACTTTCCCAATCATTTCCCTTTGAGAGTACTAAAGAGTCTTCTTTTTTAGACAAACATTTCTACAATGTAACTGACAAACAAAGCCTCGTAGTGCTGTGAGTGTCAATTGTTTACAAATTTAGATTATTTTCTATTCTGCAGTTAAAGGAGAACCGCTCAATCCCATGGATTGCACCAAAGAATCATGGGACACTATTGTTTAGGTTGTTTACAATGTTAATCTATCTTTTGTTATCCATTGTTATTTTATTCCTGAAAGTAAATTTGTTGTGAGATTAGGCATAACTGGAAGTGCTCCTTTAAGATTCTCCAATATAACAAACATTTGATTGTGTTATATATTGGTCAGTGGGTGTGGTACCTCACAGATTTGCAGTGGTGGGAATACAACTTTAAAGAGACAAAAGTTAAACTACAAATTATTAAAGATAATTAATTATAGACAGAATTGATATTACAGAACATCTAATATATTTTTACTATTCAGAACTTTTAATTAACATAAAACTACATTGATGTGTAACATTTAGCTTTACAATGGCTTATTGTTGTTGTCTTGCCTTTGTTTTCTTCTTTCCAGCTGTATGGCAACAATAGTTTCATTTAAATCAGTTCTTTTGAAAGAAATATAGAAATAAAAATTGGATACATTTTTTAGTTTTATAAAAAAAATAATTCCAATGAATACTTTCAGTGTGACCATAAATATATACTTTGTATGAGTAACGTGTATTGACATGTTACACTGAACTGGTTTTGTGGAACGCTTCTGTGATGTGCTTTATAAGTATTCATTTATTTTTAGGCATTTCATTCTCAGTAACATTTTGGGGTCTTCTTTGGTAAACAATGAGCTAATTTGCATTTTTTTTAACAATTTCTACATGGTATAAATTAATAGCGAATTGAATTAAAATGCAGATAAATTGGAATCGTGAAGTAACACAGAATAGGTGATTTTCCGTACAATTGCGAGATCTCGCGAGACGTATGAAAGACGTGCGTCGAACGTCTGCCACAAAAGTCGTACAATTTGATTTTGAACTAGAATTTCTTTATTTCGTAACTCACATCGACTGATAGATCTTCGACAGAGGAATATTGCTTCGGAATACCCTTACTTAATCGAAATTGCCTATCATGAAATGTGGGCAGCACATGATTAAGCATGAAAATGTCCCCGAAATACTTTCGCGTTTGTCGAATCCCATGCGATGTTTGACGCCACTACGACGCTATGACCTTTGTTTGTCCTGTTTTTTTGTTCGATTTCACGCATAACGCGTGATTCTCGCAGTGAACGGAAAATGGTCTATTCGGGATAATTGCCAAATATAGCAAGTTGTGCACTAAACATTATGGTCACCAGGTATAGAGACTATAAATGGAGAAATTTGGTTTATAGCTCAAGTCATACAACAAGCAGTGCTCAATTGATACTTTTAAAAGTATTAAAATGATGCAGAGCTTATTGGCTTTACAATTTCTGAGAAATTAGTGAGGTTGCATTTCAATCACAACTTGGCACACTTATACTCAACTTTTTACCTGTATTTATTATGCAGATCATGTTCCTTTTTTGATTGATCAATCAACAAAGAAAATATCATTCTTAAACTTAATTGCATGTATCTGTCATGCTAGAAATTAATATATATATAGCATTCGGGATATAGAAAGCTGCTGCAAAAAGGCAATGTATGATTTCTGGTGTGTTAGCGCCCTCTATAGTAGGTTGAAAAAACAAAAGGCGCACAAATCAACTGTAGTGTTTTATATTCACATTTATATCCAATCATTTACAGTTCAAAATATTTACAAATTGACAATCTTAGATGTATTGCAGATTAAAGGGAATGAAACTAATTATTATTTCTTGATGTATTTCATACTAATATAACTTATCAGAAATTAATTAAAGTAAATTTAAGTCAAAATTACAATAAATAAAAGTAAAAGTCTCATTTCCTGTATATATTAAGATTTCAGAGTATAATAATAAATAATGCACATTCAGCAATAATTGAGCAAAAATCATTAATTAAGGATTTAAGAAAAACATGTCAACTTACTTCTGCATGTGAAAACCCATCTCAGCAATCTTCTTCACTATTGCATTCTCGTGTTTTCCTTTACCAGAAATGTTTAGTTGATATCGTAAGATGAATACCTCCAATACAAATGCAACAAAAATACTGGGAAGATATAATTCATTATCTTTATTGTCAAGACAATCACAAAAATATCATGAAATTCACATAAATTAGACTATCTTAGTTTAGTTATCAGTTTTTGTAATATATTAGTTATTACTTTATTGTCGTAATAAAACAGTGCACACTATCACAACTGTATTTGCATAATGAAGCAGACAACTGGACTTGATTAGTGATCACATTACTTTCTCCTATAAATTCTATTGCAATCTCCATAAAATTATACATATTATGGGAAATAACAAATTGAATTGAAGACATCCACTGCCAACTCCAAGAAGCATAACAGTTGGTTGTACAAGTAGAAATGCATCATTATAGTAAAATATAAGCAGTCGATGTGTCAATGCTTCCCAGACCTTGTAGAATCAGTCTCAACACTGTTTTCACATTAAAATGACAAAAAAACGTTTAACAGATTAATCAAAAAAAGATTAACAGTTTTAGACAAATTCAACACAAATTTTTGTTTGCCAATAAAAAAATGCAATATAGCATGCAACTGAAACAATGCATTAATTGTTGTGTATTAACTTACTTCATGAGAACGATAACCACAGAGAGATGAAACACAACAAAAAACAGTCTTGCCCAGGTTGATGTCGTCAATACATATCCAGATGCCAAGAGTACAGTGATGTTAAAGAAACAAAATATACAGATACACAAGACATGTTTAATCAACTAAAAAACTACTACAAGCCTGATAAAATAATTTTCTATATTCATAATCTGAATTTAAATTTCTCATTATTTATTTATTTATTTTCACCACCAGTTCCTATTTTCATCGTAAATCATAAAAATAGTCTTGTTTATAGTCTGCACTTTTCTTCAGAAGATTTGGACAATAACAGCCAAATGTTTCGAGTAAAAACAAAATTAGGGTTTATTCCCATGAATATTGAAAAATTT